TCAGATATAAACTTTATTCATATATTCATACGTGCAGGACAAAAATCTTGGTGTCAGCAGTCACATGACACTCCTTATTGTCATCTTGTCATATGCTTCAAATCTACTCACTTGGCTGTGAAGTCTCCATCAATTCTGAATCGCATCCGTATATCCATCGGGAGCTAAAAAGGTCAATTTAGATCTCAGTCTCGTTTCCATGTTGAAATATGGAGTGCGTGACAGAAAGGCCTGTACTTTGAAACGTATACCATAATTTAACTCCACAAATTACTTCTCGTTGATCAGGTCTTCTTTACTCTGTGGTGATGGTTGAAGGAAACTCGTTTTTTCGGTATCTGCTCCCTGACTATTCAATTATATGAAAGCCCCCAACATGTCGGAGGTCGTCCAAACAAACGAAACAGAAGGTACCCAAAGAACAACAGAAGTAAGATTTGGAAAAGACTACCACAATTCTTTCGACACCAAAGCCTTTTTGAGTTCGTATCTCGGTGGAATTTCCGAGGATGCTCCCTCCTACTCACAATTTTCTTAGCGTAGTTTTCTGCGCGGGCTGCGGCGAGCGCGAAACAGTCTCTCACGCGTTTTGCTCCTGTCGCCTGGTGTCCCCTGTCTGGAGCTGGGTGTCGACATTAATTTCCAAACTCTATGATAAACCCCCCCCCCTCCTGTCTGAACCGTTGATTTTATTCCGTCAGGGCCTACCCCCGGGCTCCAGTTTCGAAAAATCAAACCTGATCACGTCCTTCCTAATCAAAATTGCCCTAAATGAGCTCTGGGCCGCCCGAAACCTGGATGTTTTTGAAGCCAGGCGCCCCTCTGCCCAAGCCATAATCTCAAAAATTAAAACCCGCGTGCGTTTTCGCATTGACGCTGCCTTCACCCACTCCCCACGGGAGATTTTCACTACCCTCTGGGCTCACAGGAAGGTTTTGTGCTCTTATGAGAACCAGACCCTAGTAGTTCAGGTCTAAAACCTCGCTTTATTCAATCCGATACACCAGTAATTAACTAGAGCACTAATTTCGATTCCGTGATCCCAATCATCGTAACTTAATTAGCAATTACCATCAACACAATCATTGTTAATAGCACCATCTAAACCCTAGTATTTCAAGGCTAAAACCTCGCCTTTTATTCAATCAGATATACCAGTAATTAACTAGTCTAAGAGTACTAATTTTGATTTCGTGATTCCAATCATTGTAACTAAATCATCAATTACTATCAGCCCAATCATTGTAAATAGCAACTTCTAATGTAAATAAATTTGCAAAAAAAAAAAAAAAAGTTTTCACGAAGCTTGGTCCACAATGCCCAAGGGACATCTTCGGGTGTTAGAATTTGGTGGAGGTCCAAACATTTCTGTTCTAATTAGCGCCGAACCCTACACAAAAGAGATCATTTTTGCTGAATACAGCTAAAGAAATCGACGAGAAGTGTAGGGATGGTTGCAGAAATCACCTGATCCTCATAATTGGTCATCGTATTTCAAGTTTGTCGTTCAGAACTTGGAAGGAAGGACAAGTGAAGAACTGGAAATTCGACAAGATGCCCTTAGGAAGAAAGTTACCCATATACTAGCCTGTGATATTGGTTGGGAGGACCCAGTAAAATGGCCATCTTCGTGGTCCTCACAGATCGGCAAAGATCGGCTCAGATCGGCTCGTTTGATGTGATCACGACAAATCTGTGTCTGGAGGCTTCAGGGGTGTGGACAAAACCTGTCCTACCCTGTGGCCTACCCAGTGGCCTACCCTATGGCCTACCCTATGGCCTACCGGTGGTCAGATTTTTAAGAACATAAAAATAAAATCAGTAAGAGTCGAACGAATACGCTGGTGTACAATTATCTGTCTTTGAAAAGGGTATACTAAGAGGTCGCTAACACGATCTATTTTCAATGTCCGGGGGAACGAAACACTGCAAATATCACAGCACTCAACCATCACGGTAAGTTAAGGGGGAGGAGAGAGGAGGGGCCAATATTGTGTGGTCGGAGAGGATATACAAAATGGCGGCTTTTTGATGCAGGCTGTCCGTCGGTAACATATTGTGGAGTGCTGGTGTAAAAATATAATGAATGGCGTTATATTGGAGAGCATACATATCCAGGTAAGAAAACGCAAACATTACGTGCCACGCCAATTTTTTTTAAGTGCCCTCAAGTGCTGTAGAGTATTGAATTTGCAACGAGCACCACGGGACACGCACGCATCGCCGTCGTAAACATTTCGCAAACTTTACTTGCTTTTCCAAAGAAAGGGCCAGTATTGCACTAATTTGAAAGGAGAGCTGATATGATGATGTTTTCCCAAAAGTTGCGTTTAACCAGCTTCTGTTCCCCGATTTCCTTATTCTATCAGAAGGTTAAGAAATTTTAATCGGAATGTGGCTACCAAAACAGCAGAAGAAAGTCGTTGGTAAGACAGTACTCAGGAAAACGTTGAAAGGTTTCTAGCAATGCTATCCTTTTAAAAATTTGACCACCGGTAGGCCATAGGGTAGGCCATAGGGTAGGCCCTAGGGTAGGCCACAGGGTAGGCCATGGCCTAGGCCAGGTTTTGCCCACATCCGGCTTCCGTGACATCTTCAGAAGAGTATCGTCACGCGATCGCCGAGCGGACAAAGTACCTGAAAACTGGTGGATATTTTATCATGCCTGGAGTTCTGGGTGAGAGTTTTTATATGGTTGGCCATGAAAAATTTCATTGCTTTCCTGAGTACGAACATGATCGAAAAAACTTCTGCGGAAGAGGGATATCAGATTCTTAATCTGAAGGTATTGTGACAGAGGGTAATTGCGATGCTCAAAGTTTGTTCTTTTTTAGAGGGAAGTTTGACAGGCATACATTAAGCCCATCTGGACGTTAGCTGCATTGATCATTAATGGCTATTCATTGGTAAGCAGAGAAGTAATTGGTGTTAATAAGAACACTTACTAATTTGAGGCACAATGTTTCCACCAATAGTGGTCTCATGAGATATTAACAATCAAATTTTGAGGTTGTTCCAGGGTTCTCTTGTTTGTATCTTGAAGAACCAGATATTTCCTGTTACAATTCCCATTTCATTTTGTTTTATATTGTTCTTGTCCTTGCTCCAATTTTTTTACAGGTTTACCAGTTCAATATAGAAATGCAAGGAAATTTTAGTTATTAAAAATGTGTTGAATGGTATTTTAATTCTTTCATTCCCAAGATCTCATCAGTATTTCTCCTTACTGTCTGCCACACAATTCTTAGGATGTTAGTTTGGAGAATATGGAGTTGGATCAACTTATGATCCCCCAATTGATCTTTTCTGATTAATCCCAATACTTGTCTGCTTGCTAGTATACATCATTGATAATGTTAGGAGAAAGTCTGTTTTGGTCACTCTGACCCATAGGAGTTACACAGCTGATGTGATTATGAAGGGTACTCCACAGGTATCTAGTGTAAAGGGACGTAGTGACAACAATAAAAAGGCCAAAATCACATGTATACCTTTATAGCACAAAGAGATATGACCTAGTGAATTTTTGAAGAATTAAAATTATTGGGACAAGAAATATATGTGATAGAAACCAACAGCCATATATTGATAGCATCATCTATTTACAGGCACTATTCCAAAGAATGTAAGACTGCTGTTCTGAACAATTTCGTAGCACACTTTAATGTAATCAAGAAATGCACAAACAAGTTTGACTGCCTTGTTAATGAAATGCTGTGTATTCAAGATCTTAAACCAACATTGAATGTACAGTCAGATTCTCTTTGTGCTAAACGGTATTCATGTAATTAGCTTGGCATTGTTTTATGCAAATTTGCTTCAAATCACATTTTATCATTAATTATGTAACCTTGATAATGGCGCAAGATGCACTGAAACATCGGCAAATTATTCACCGAATATAAAGAAAGCTGCACCCCTAAAATTGATCCAAGCACCAAGTATAAAGTGGTTAGCAGTGATTATAAGGGCTTTCACACCAGGTATAATGTGGAAATTACCGAGTACCTTGGATAAAGAGCCGAGTATAAGGTGACTGTCACCGATTATAGCAACCAGACCACCAAATATCATAATACAAGCACCGAAAATGATAAGAAAAGCACCACGGATAAGGAAACAAAATATCATAAGACAGTTATGGCGTTCCATAGGTTTCCATCACTTATATTTCTTGTCTCATGTATTTCCAAATTGTTTCTTACATTACAATTATTTGTGCGTAACCTGGAAAAAATACTCTGGCTGGCTTATACACTGTTTAGAATAGTTTGGATTATTACACATTAATTTGGGGGAGAAGTGGGGAATATTTTACTTTTGGTAAATCACGATAAGAAGACCTCCATTGCCCATGCATCCTTGCAGATTTAAAATATTCCCTGACACAAGTTGCCATCATTACCTCTGAACATTATTGGTAATTATAATTAATAATCATTGTTATTGTATTGACAAAAGTTACTGATTTGTGCTAAATATACAGGCCATACATGGGTAGAAATTTGTTGTGGATAACTTTAATGGGTCATTGATGGTCTGATAGCTTTAGACACACCAAAAAACCCCAAATACCTGACCGCCGCCCAGTTAGACCAATGGATAGTGCGCTGGCCTGTTGTGCGGGAGGTCAAGGGTTCAAGCCCGGGCCGGACCAACACTCAAGGTCTTAAAATAATTGAGAAGAATTTGCTACCTTTCTATAACATCGATAAATGGTTAGATATTCTAGTCTTCTCGGATAGGGACGAATAAATGGAGGTCCCGTCTCCCGCAGAGTTGGGGGTAGAAGACGTTACTTTCCCACGCACAAGATTACTGTGTGATGGATGTCCTCCCCTGGGGTGGGATGGGTGGGTTTATACATTAAGTGTAAAGTG